TGTTTGAAAATTGGCAGTTTGAAAATCATAAGATTACATCACAAAAAGTACGGTGTCAAAATATTACCCCTCTCCAACATTTTCTCATCGAAATCAGACGAAATACTAACTCGATTCTGCTGAGAAGTGGGGGGGATGGGGGGGACGTGTCCGCTACTGCTTTCAAGTCTTTGAAATTTTGGCCCCTCCAATTTCAAATACGTTTCGACGGCCCTGCTGAAACCCCCAAGGCAAAACAGCCCCCTTTCCTTTTAGCTTCGTTATATCAACATATAGAGGAAAGTCTAAATTCAAAAATTCAAATTCATTTCAGTCACATTTTGTCTGGTTCGGAAGTTCAGTTGAAAAATATTCCCATTCATTTCCAACTCTTAAATGACCCTAGCAAAGGTTAAAACCATTTGTTTAGTTTTGAATAGATTTTTCAAACCTCAATCCCACAGAAAGAGTTTTATAGGCAAATAAAACCATGTTAACTTATGATCTTTTTTGAAAATTTATCAATTTTCTACAACATATATTGCTTCTTTATTTCATCAGATCCGCTGGCCTTAATGTTTTGCATAAACTATAAAATTTCCATTCACTATGGAGAATAATTATTTGGTTATTAGGAGAAATGGAGTCTTCTGAATGCAATGTAAATGATTTAGGCTTGTGTGAGGTCTACTGCTTGAAGCCTTTGAGGGTTTTTACAACTGGGCTTTTCTCACAGGGCCTGTTGAAACTATTTGCCTAAAGATATGTCCAAGATATGAGCTTGAGGGGTTATCCAGCCTCAATGCTTACAAAGCCTCTCTTTCAGGCCAGAAACATATTGCCTCGAGCTCTCCTGGTTTCTAGATGTAGAAGAATCTTTCCAGATGGAGGGGATGTTGCCTTAAGCATTTTGTCATAAAATAATATGAAAGTACCTGATCATTTATATGTTAGCTTTTTCAAAGAACATATAAAGAAAACTACTTTCTTTTTCCACCAGTCATCCCCTTAAAGAGTGCTTACTTGCCAACCGTGGGACATTCTGAATTTTGCGCAAATGAAAAAATTCACAAATGACATAGGATGATATCCAAAGGGCACGAACGACAAATGCATAAAATATTCATTATTGGCAAGAAAGAAGACATAGCTGTCAAATGTCACTTCTAATATTATCACATATTTATCAGATGATACATTTAATCACTTATTGAGGCGGAGCCTGCTATCAGTAGCTAAAGATTTTACAAGAGTTCACTGCACTTTGTATGTAGTGAAAATGGTTAGTTAATACTTCGGTCATGATATGATGGAGGGTCATGTTGTGCCCTCTTGTGATTTCCATAATAATGTGATTTTTCCCAGTATTTAAAACTGAATCATATCAGCTGAGCATCGCAATTATATTGCGAGGCATGGACCTCATCTGCAAATTTGATCCAGTCTTTGCTGCTGATCTTCGCAGTAAGAAAACAAAGGATTTTGTGCGATTTACAGCTTCGCTTTAACTTTGCAGGGTTTCATTCTTGCATTCAAAAAATTAATGACAATAACCCCTGTGCAATTATTGAACAGGGTAAAAGCTTGGCGAATTGAGGCTACCTTCATGCAGTAATATCTCCAGTTTAGGAGCGTTATTCTAATTGCGCACGATGAAAATCTAAAACTACCCTTACATATTGAGAAAATCACTGACTTATTTTGCCTTGAAATTTTTTCGCTTGCAGTAGTTCGAAGTTTTTAGTGCTCACGCAGCTTGGTGGCTGTTTGGCCGCCATTGTTGTTATTGTCGCTAGATTCAGGGGTCTGTTACAAGCTCTGATTGGCTTTTACACCATTTGAGAGCAGAAAGCTGATTGGCTGTAACATTTTTCGCTCTTGTTTGACCAGATAAATCTGGACCAATAGTGTGGTGGAATTACGACTTTACCCGGACAAAAATAATAAAAAGCTGTAATTTGGCACATAGGTTCGATACGATACTGGGAATAACCAGAAAAAAAGACCCATCAATTGGACATTGGGAATTCCTTATTTGGGCAAATCCCATATGGCGCACTGATCAGCAGGAGTTCAAATTTTTATGTCGCTAAAACCACATTATATGTACATATTCTGAAAGACAGTTTAATGCTGAACAACTTTTGTTCAACATACACACCCTTATAATGTGGAAATAAGTACTTTCTGGTAAAAAATAGCAGATAGAGGGCAACTGGGCAATAGAATGCACGGCCGGCGAAAGCGGGGGGGGGCCGGGGGGCCATGGCCCCACTTTTCTGCAGAGCTGAAGGAAAATTTTAGGTAAAAGTGGAAATAAATGTAGTATAGCATTCTGTAATTAACTGTGTTTAGTAATCCCTTACATATGCCTTTAGATTTAGCTTGGTTGCTATGACTTTACCATAGAAGACATATATAAATTTGAATATGGGAAATAAGATCAAAGAAATCGGTCATTGTCTAAGTTGTATAACGAGTTTCACTTTCAAATACGTTTCGCCGGCCCTGGAATGTATACAGTGGTGGCGCCAGGGGAGGGCTAGGGCGCTACAGTCACTCCATCGGAAGCATCTAGCCCCTATCAGAAGAAAATTTTCGGTTATTGCCGGAGCAAATTTGACAAAATAACGTACGAAAACTGCATATTATAGTCAATTTAGCCCCCCTGTTTGAAGCTCCAACCTCTCTGTCGGAAGATTTCTGGCGCCACCTCTGAATGTATATAAATTTATTTATGAACAACTTATATATTAACAAGATCAAAATATGCGATGATGAAATCCTATCCAAATTTCCCTAAAATTCTGTTCTTCCGCAAACACTGATGGCATCTTCATTTGGAGAAAAAAGGCAAGGATCTACCCTGTGCCTTGCAGACAAATATTCTTGCTGGTAATAACTGCGGGTACGAAGGTATTCTAATGCAGAACACGGGAAAAGGTAAACCACGTTGAAGTATATATATTTGTCTCAGGATTTTCCAATTTCCAAGTCCAGGTTTTCTGATTTTCATAACTATTTTCCGGGGTTTGGGTCCTAGGTACTCTCAAAACACCCTCTTTTTCAATTGCGCACTTCTGAATTGAAAATTTTGTAATTTTTGGGATTATAGATAATTTGGAAGTTATCTCCTTTTCTGGTAAAGAAGGGCATAAAGGGAATATTACTGGCCTAGCATCAAGCTGTAGTTTTGTGCAGCCACTTTGAATTTGCACTGGATTTGGCAGTGTTTTTCACGTCTTAGTAACAAAAATTACTAAGATGGAGGATGTCAATGAAAAAAGTTGAAAAACTGTCAGAATTGAAATCTTCATCTTTAAATTAGTTTATAATGAAAAAAATCATGTTGTTTGGACCGTTCGGTCGCGAGTTACTTTGTTTGAATATTTAGATATTCTTTTAGATTTGACCGGAATTTGCTGCTGCAGTGAAAACATCTCACTAGAGTCAGCCCGGGCTGAGTAGGCACGGGTTGAGTCAGCCCGGGCTGAGTGGGCCCAGGCTGAGTTAGCCCGGGTTGAGTCGGCCCGGGCTGAGTGGGTCCGGGTTGAGTCAGCTTGGGCTGAGTGGACCCGGTTTAAGTCAGCCCGGGCTGAGTAAGCCCGGTTTAAGTCAGCCCGGGCTGAGTGGGTATTATCATACTTTATCTTATTTACACACTTAATGGATTGCATCGTTAGAATTAGTGATATAAAATGAAAATATTCAGCAAGAGGATCAGCCATTTTTTCCGCGCGCTTTTTAATATTCACTCGTCCCACTTTGTTTCCGCCCATTCACCACTAAATTTGCATATTCTAAGGGTACGTATGTTAAATAAAAGTTATTCAGCATGAAATTATCTTTCAAAAGATGTATATACTATGTGGTTTTAGCAACATTAAAATTTTGAACCACTACTGATCAGTGCGCCATTATGGTATTTGCCCAAATAAGGAATTCCCAATGTCCAATTGATGGGACTTTTTTTCTGGTCATTTCCAACTTAGTATAGAATATCTGTGCAAAATTACAGCTTTATATTATTTTTATCCGGGTTAGACCGTTTTTATATCTAATTCCACTACACTACAAGGAACTTGCGCTACGATTCATAGATTTTTTTTAGTACTGTACCGTTATCTTATAAAGTTTCAAAACTCTATCAACAGAAAAACATTTTTATAACAAAAATATAGCTAAAATAAAAAACCCATTCCACAATTTTGTATTTCCAAGACCACATTTTGGATTTCCAAGACCACAAAATATGGGAAAAACCACACAAAAATAGGCCCTGCGAGACAGCATATGTGGAAACTACAACTCGTTTTTTTATAAGAAACAAAGGTCGATGTTGAGTACTCCAGTTTCTTAATGTTCTGGAAATTTCAATACTCATTGTTTCTCAATTACAGCTCTATGCTTAATTATGATGTCATGAATGATGTTATGAAATATTCGTGAAAAATTTTTTATCAAGCGATTCGCTTCCGTTCTGATGCTGTATTGTATTTAGATGTTGGAAGTATATTTTTAAATTTCCCTTGTGTCTCAATCATTTTCTTTGATTTTACAAAATTTCGCTGTTCTCAGTTTTATCACGATTTAATAGTTTCTTAATATTTTTGCTTCGAGCACTGAAGTTTCCTAATTTTTATTGACGGTCCAGTACTCGTTTCTTATAGCCACTTGACACACGAATAGCAAACAATCTATGCGAGTATTGGCTGCAAATGAATGGGACCGGCTTTTTTGTTCCTGATGCTTGCAGTTATAAACATTTTTCAAATCGAAAAGTATCTTAGGGACTTCGTTTGTAGTAGTATAAGTTCTTTAAATATTTTGGCCTTCCACGTGTAGGTTCCTTATAAAGTGGTTCCTTGTAAAAAAAGCGTGTAGTCTTAACTTTCTTTTCTATAAAATATATGTACTGACAAAATTCCTTGGTGAATTCATCACAGGTCCTGGCGTGAAAGCAACTACATGTCAATGAGTTTTACGAATGAAAATTCTTAGTACCGACGTGGTGGTGATACCGTCGAGTCATTCAATTTTGACAAAGAAGCCTCTTGGAAATTGGAGGTTTGTAAATTGCCGTTAATGTTTGACCTGGAACTTATAAAGCTTTTTGTGCCAATGACCTATACTACATGAGGTAAACGAAGTAACGATAGGCGTTTCAAAATTGAATTTTGGTCACACGACTTGATATCCAGACCTCCTAAAAATTGGCGGATTATTACGGTTGACTTGAGGTATTTAGTTGATGTTCGCGGGAATATAATGGGTAGCACTGGTAATAAGAGACGCTCACTTGCTTGATGAAGTCGAGGGGATAACACCTCTCCTTTTCGCCAACATTAAACTTAGCATTAGCAATCGCGTAAAATTTTTTTTACTATAAGTCAGATGGCAGTTTTCATTAGTGGATGTTAACCAGAGGAAAGAAGAATTTCACATTAACGAAAAAGCTTCAAGATGCTGTCTTCGTTTTGTTTAATCCTCTTAATGGGAGGATATGCTTCGGGTAAGTGATTGTAAAAATTATATAATTCAAATCACTTTTATTTGTTTCTTGTCTGGTGACATCAAATTATGAAATTTTACCTTACTGCCATTAAGTGTAATGTCATTTTAAAGTGTATTGGCTTCGTTATAACGCTTTTATTATTAAATTTAGCAATTTCTGAACAAGCGGGGTTTCACAATTTTATAGTTTATTCAGATTGCAATGGGAGAAAACTGTTCGGTAGGGTAGCAACAGTATAAATCCTAAAGCGATGTATAAAATCGCATCACAGTTATCTTTTATGTAGCTATAAAATCTAGTTAAAAACAAGTTAAATCATGGCTAGGTTTGATTACTGATAGCGCAACCCTTGTAAGGAAAGCTTTAATCGACTTTGTTGTTATCCTATGATTAAGCGTTGCTTTAAGAGTATACTTTTTAAGATATTCAAGTTCTTTATTCTGATAAAAATAAGTGGATTTATAGCAACTTGTCTTGTGTTGCAACCTTTTTACTGTAGAACGCGCTAAGATTTCTGCATACACCCTAAGATACTATGCCCTTGGAATTTCATCTGTTTCTCGATTCAAGGAACTTTTCTAATTCGAGGTTTTAGCAAATGACTCTTGACAAAGCGACATTAAACTTGCGAGAAGCCACAATTTTTATTTAGGATGTCTACATTCCATTTACATGTGTCTCCAACAGACTTATTTGTATCCACATTTGTTGTGCTATTTAGCAACAATTTACATGTTTGGTCACTGCATTTTATTTTGATAAACACGATCCTCATCTTTTGATAAGAAAGCAACCACACGTCAATAACACAAGATTACCATGATTAGGTAAATTCGAATCGCTTTGAAAACGTCATTGTTTAAGTGTATACAGCAATTGTTTTAGAGTTACAACAACAACTACCAAATTTCTAAGCTTTGTTATTACTACGATGCCGGATTCTAGAAATCGTCCAAACCTAACTACACAGAAGGAAAAAACATTTTTCTGTTGACAAAATACACAGTATCGTTAATTAAAACAAAATGCCCTAAAGTTATTAATACTCAGCTTTTAGGGCTTCGTTTTTCTAGAGGTTATTTTGTAAGCAGGACTCGATCGGGCGATTAAGTGAAGATTTACGATCACGGTCGTTTTAAACTTAACAAAGCGACAGGTTACAAATATCAATCTAAAGGCAGAATCGAAGCAAAACTATTCTGACGAGAGAGGCTTGAAGGGGAGGGGGTCTTCAGCCCAAACAGCAATTCGTAGATAGGACTTTTGACTAAACACTGAACTTTATTTTCCAATATCATAATGGTGAAAAAAGTTGAACGGGTAAATGCAGAAAAATCAAAGCTTTAACAACAATGCGAAACACGACATCAAAAGCTCGTCTCCTGAATCAAGGCAATTTTTAACCATATCCAAATATGATATTTCAACTTAAAAGAAAAGAATATGATCACTTTTACGATGCCCACGCCACGAAGTTTAACGTGTGTGTGGAGGGGGGGGGGGCAAGGCTGATTGAAGTGGTGTGTCAAGGCTTACTTCACCTTTTATTGCAGCTTTGAAGTTATTTGCTTTCATTTGCTGTGCGAAAAAGTGGGGAGGCCATGGCCAAAAAGCCCTCCTCCCCCACGGTGGCGTGGACCCTGCCAACCAGATAATGTAGAATACGTTTCCTTCTACTGAAACCCTTTACTCAATAATCAGTAGCATTACGTGTTAAATCTATATATGCTTTGTTTGGTATCCTAACTGGCTTCAGTCATTCCCCACTCTTCAACATCCCTTTATTCAAGTCAACTGTTGGCTCTTGAGAGTTCGTGTTTTGTAATTTATCCCGAAGGTATCTGACAGTTGGTTAGATGTGGGATATTAGAGCATTTGGCATATCATTAGCTGCACCACACCCATGAGACAACGTGCGGTTTCTAATTCATGAAAACGTTCTCCCATCCCGTTATCTCATCTCAACGCCAACCACGAGGCTTAGATAAAGAGCAGAACCATCTACTAAACAGCAGAAATTATTGCAAAAATAGCTTTACGATTGCAATATGAATAAGGAAATCATAATGGCAAAAGAAGGTGAAATATTTAAGGAATTTTTAGATAGGACTCATTTTGCCTCAGGCAATTCACACTGCTCCGTATTCATTTGCTCAGTTTTCGTTGATGAAAACGCTGTCCCTTTAACAAATTCTACAGATGCTAGAATTCCCAGAGAAAGCAGTAGGACTTGCTGAAGATACTTTTCTCGACCTGAATTAGAGGGGTGTGGTACGTTAAATCGTTTGGGTCAGTGGCCGTGTGACCGTAATGTTTTCCTGACACTACGGAGATAATGTTTCAATCCGATACGAGTAGATTTATGACACAATCTTGTCAGTTATAGATTAGTCGATTAGAAGCAAGTGTACCTTGTTTGTCAGCATTCGTATTGGTTTCATTTCACATTATTGTCTTTCAAACATACTGATATACTATACTAAGTCATTAGGTAACAGTAGCCTCTAGTAGTTTCAGATATTTTTAGAAAAAAGCATGCCTTAGAAAAGGAAAGTTCCCAGTGAAAGCCTATTCCAAATTAAAGAAAAAACTTTAGATGGTTATGAAAAAAGTATAAGGACATGCTGAAGAAGCTCAGAGAAACAAATCAAGTTGCGATCCATTTTGGATTGATTGTAAATGTAACTCTGATATGTGACCTTTCATTTTTGGTCCAACGACATAGATCATTTCGAGGAAACTCAATCACCCCTAGGCTCAGTTAAAAATTGTGCTTTTCAAGTGTGAAAGTGGTCGAAACTGTCCCTCCTGTCATTTTTTAAGTATTATACTGTTTATACTTGAATCAAGTGTCACCTTCTGGCTCAAAGGCTTAAAAAATTTCATATCACTTGATCGTTTGAAAGGGTGATGTTGCCACCAAGGCAGATACTCTTTACGTTTTCGGAATGCCTATAGCAGATAACGCTAGTAGATTCCGTGTTTTTATCAATACTCTGAAACGCAACGTGGCAATCGCAGCTAAGATGTATGGAATACAGAAAAAAGGGGTCTTTGTCTCGTGTCTAGATGACCTCTTTATAAGAGACTTGAAGGCAGTTATTTTAAAATCTAAAATAATTTCAGGAGCAATTCTAACCAATTTTCTCAAACTGATAACTCTCGACAAAACTACTGTAACATTTAGCCTAATGACAATGTAAGTTTTGATGTTTGCAGCACTGCGACGTTCGTTCCCCCTTGGTACATCTTTTGTCGCAAAGGATCTTCGATCAAGCGATTAAACTTAACGCGAAACAAGAACATAGAATCTACAGGGAGTCTATCGAGCGTTCCATTCAATTATATTGCTCACAGGTCTTTGGTCTTCAGAATGGCCAAAAAGTGCCTCTTTGGAAAGTGCCTTCGGTTCCATCCCCGGAGCAAGAACTAAATTGGTTCATAGTTTCCGATTGTTTTCTATCAATGTTTGCTTGTACTCTTTGCTTCCGAGCAAACAGGGGTTTTGAAAGAAGCAGAGTGACACCCCCAATACTTCGTGGGTTTGTCGTTAAATTTTAAGTTGGTGCAGAATTCCCTAGTTTGTCGGTAAAATCGTCTATCGGTAGGTGAAATAGCACCTAAATATCTATGTCTTCGTCGGTAAATTTTACTATTCATAGTCTGTCTGGAAGGTCAAGCTTCGCCACTGCATGCAGTTGGTAAGATTTATAAGTTTTCAAAGAAAAAAAATAAAGAAAATAATTGTTACTGCATATAGGGCATGTTGGTCAATTGGTATTGAACTTGAAACATGGAAGTTCAAAGAACGATACTCAACGTTGATATCAGTTTGCAAAGAAACAGCCAGACAAAATTGAGAATTCAACCAACAAATCAATCAACAAATAAATTATTTAAAATTACCGAGAAAATTTCATCAAAAGAAAGCGAGACATGCTTGCAGTAATACAATTAAGTCCTTGTTCCTTTGCATATTGTACCACTTGTACCACAAAAAGATTGTTAAATTAAGATTTACGATTGATAAACTTATAGTGGTTAATAATGGTGTATCATAAGGCGCCTAGGAACAAGATTTTGGAACTGGTATGTGCTTGCAGTAACCGTTCTTTTGATAGTAAACAAGTTTGCAATTATGTTAATCATAAGTTATGGGAGTCGACTGCTTTCGCTATTTCAGTATTTACGAACAAATCAGCTTAGTGAACGTTACTTAGCTATCCAATTATATATTTACCATCCCTTTTCAAAAATTTTGAAGCTTTAATACGGCAAAAGAACCATGCTTCTGCAAAGATTAAACATATGATATTGGCATTAAAGCATAAACAATGATTTGTTGAACTTGGTACATGGAAGTTTAGAGAATTCGTATAATATGAGTAAGAGCCAGTTAGCAATCGATGGCTTTCACTCAGTTAGTTTTTGCGATGAAGACCCTTTGCAAGGCAGGTGGATAACTTCATGATGAAGTGACGTCATTTCAACGCCAGGCAATTATTAGGCCCATCTCCGAACCGATGACCTCCCTCAAAGAGTATTGATTATAGTATGAAACTTTTCAAGAGGGTCCTCAGTATCGTTTACATTTGCACAGTGTTAGGATCACCTTCGGAGGTAGAAGATTCCTTTGTTCGCTTATGAAACTTCAAAAGAGTGACGTATTCGACAAAAAGTTTCTTTCTTTACTCGAATTGGATGCAAAACCCCAGAAAGCAGTGCAAAATACAAATAGGTTTTGCCTCACTATTACATAGTTGAAACAACAATTATAATTATTTACAAGAAAAAATTCAAGATTACATGTAACAGCCAATCTGTCTCTCCACAGAATTAATATGGAGTTACATGAGATGAGGTTAAATTTTGATGACATAAAATGGAAAATTGAGCTTGAAAATATGTATGAATATAATTGGATTTGTCTTTAGATTATAAAATACATAATTATTTTTTTATTAATCGAAACAATACAGAATATCTTGATGCTAGAC